TCCAGAGAGACCTGGACAGGCTGGAGAGCTGGGCGGGGAATAACGTGATGAAATATAACAAGGGAAAGTGTAGAGTCCTGCATCTGGGCAGGAACAACCCCAGGTTCCAGTATAGATTGGGGAACGACCTGTTAGAGAGCAGTGTAGGGGAGAGGGACCTGGGGGTCCTGGTGGACGACAGGGTGACCATGAGCCGACACTGTGCCCTTGTGGCCAAGAAGGCCAATGGCATCCTGGGGTGTATTAGAAGGGGGGTGGTTAGTAGGTCGAGAGAGGTCCTCCTTCCCCTCTACTCTGCCCTGGTGAGACCTCATCTGGAATATTGTGTCCAGTTCTGGGTTAAAAAGGACAGGGACCTGCTGGAGAGAGTCCAGCGCAGGGCAACTAAGATGATTAAGGGAGTGGAGCATCTCCCTTATGAGGAAAGACTGAGGGAGCTGGGTCTCTATAGTTTGGAGAAGAGGAGATTAAGGGGTGACCTTATTAGTGTATATAAATATATAAAGGGGGAGTGTCACGAGGATGGAGCCAGGCTCTTCTCAGTGGCAAACAATGAAAGGACAAGGGGTAATGGGTACAAATTGGAACACAAGAGGTTCCACTTAAACCTGAGAAGAAACTTCTTCTCGGTGAGGGTGACGGAACACTGGAACAGGCTGCCCACGGAGGTTGTGGAATCTCCTTCTTTAGAGACATTCAAAACCCGCCTGGACACGTTCCTGTGTAACCTTATCTAGGTGTTCCTGCTCCGGCAGGGGGATTGGACTAGATGATCTTTTGAGGTCCCTTCCAATCTCTAACATACTGTGATACTGTGATACTTTTGCATACTCTTCAATTTCTTGATGTACAAAAATGGTGCAGAGCAATGCAAAACTGAGTCTAGAGAGTGTATAATCTTTACTGAAGCAGAAAGAAAAATCATTCCCATGTCTTTAATTCCTTGAAGAGACTGGAGTAAGATTTTTCCTACATTAATCAGTTCTGAACAGAAAGTAAACACTGGAGGGAAGGAATGCCATCCAGAGGGACCTTGACATGCTTGTGAGGTGGGCTGATGCCAACCTCATGAAGTTTAACCATGCCAAGTGCAAGGTCCTATGCCTGGGTCAGAGCAACTCCAGGCACAGCTACAGGTTGGGCAGAGAAGAGATTCAGAGCAGCCCTGTGGAGAAGGACTTGGGGGTGTTGGTCGATGAGAAAATGAACATGAGCCGGCTTCAGTGTGCGCTTGAAGCCCAGAAAGCCAACCGTATCCTGGGCTGCATCAAAAGGAGCAGTCTATGGGGCGGAGTCTAGTTGGAGGCCTGTAACTAGTGGAGTGCCTCAAGGGTCGGTTCTGGGACCAGTATTATTTAATATATTCATCAATGATTTAGATGAGGGAATTGAGTGTACTATCAGCAAGTTTGCTGATGACACTAAGCTGGGAGGAGTGGCCGACACGCCAGAAGGCTGTGCTGCCATCCAGAGAGACCTGGACAGGCTGGAGAGTTGGGCGGGCAATAACTTGATGAAATATAACAAGGGAAAGTGTAGAGTCCTGCATCTAGGCAGGAACAACCCCAGGTTCCAGTATAGATTGGGGAACAACCTGTTAGAGAGCAGTGTAGGGGAGAGGGACCTGGGGGTCCTGGTGGACGACAGGGTGACCATGAGCCGACACTGTGCCCTTGTGGCCAAGAAGGCCAATGGCATCCTGGGGTGTATTAGAAGGGGGGTGGTTAGTAGGTCGAGAGAGGTCCTCCTTCCCCTCTACTCTGCCCTGGTGAGACCTCATCTGGAATATTGTGTCCAGTTCTGGGCCCCTCAGTTTAAGAAGGACAGGGACCTGCTGGAGAGAGTCCAGCGCAGGGCAACTAAGATGATTAAGGGAGTGGAGCATCTCCCTTATGAGGAAAGACTGAGGGAGCTGGGTCTCTATAGTTTGGAGAAGAGGAGATTGAGGGGTGACCTTATTAGTGTATATAAATATATAAAGGGGGAGTGTCACGAGGATGGAGCCAGGCTCTTCTCAGTGGCAAACAATGAAAGGACAAGGGGCAATGGGTACAAATTGGAACACAAGAGGTTCCACTTAAACCTGAGAAGAAACTTCTTCTCAGTGAGGGTGACGGAACACTGGAACAGGCTGCCCAGGGAGGTTGTGGAATCTCCTTCTTTGGAGACATTCAAGACCCGCCTGGACACGTTCCTGTGTAACCTTATCTAGGTGTTCCTGCTCCGGCAGGGGGATTGGACTAGATGATCTTTTGAGGTCCCTTCCAATCTCTAACATACTGTGATACTGTGATACTGTGACCAGCAGGTCGAAGGAGGTGATCCTGCCCCTCTACTCTGCTCTCGTGAAACTTCATCTGGAGTATTGTGTGCAGTTCTGGTGTCCTCAACATAAAAAGGACATGGAACTGTTGGAACAAGTCCAGAGGAGGCCACGAGGATGATCAGGGGACTGGGGCACCTCCCATATGAAGACAGGCTGAGAAAGTTGGGGCTGTTCAGACTGGAGAAGAGAAGGCTGTGTGGAGACCTCATAGCAGCCTTCCAGTATCTGAAGGGGGCCTACAGGGATGCTGGAAAGGGACCCTTCACTAGGGACTGTAGTGGTAGGACAAGGGGTAATGGGTTAAAACTTAAGCAGGGGAAGTTTAGACGGGATATAAGGAAGAAGTTCTTTACTGTTAGGGTGGTGAGGCACTGGAATGGGTTGCCCAGGGAGGTTGTGAATGCTCCATCCCTGGCAGTGTTCAAGGCCCGGTTGGACAGAGCCTTGGGTGACATGGTTTAGTGTGAGGTGTCCCTGCCCATGGCAGGGTGGTTGGAACTAGATAATCTAAAGGTCCTTTCCAACCCTAACTATTCTATGATTCTAAACACAAGGAGAGCAAACAACAATATCATACTTTAACCAAATAAAATACCCATATAGGAGAGGGAAAGTTCATGAATCACTACTGGCCTAGCAACTTACTAAAATTTTGTTTCAAAATAGGATGGGAGGAATTAATGATGACCAGAGCTCTGAGCCCAAATCATTAAAAGAAGACACAATAGAAATTACAGACGTGTATGTCCATGCATCAACTCTGGGTTTCTCTAAAGCAATGCAAACTCTGGGATAAGTAATGAAGACAGACATTTCCAGAACAGTAGAAGCCACAACTAGGAAAGTTCCCAAGCCTATTCTGTCTCCTACAAGATAGCACGCATCTTAATAATAATCTTAACTTTGATTGAAGTTAAGAAAACTTTGGCATAAGTTTAAAGTTTGAACATATGGTTGTGTGATTTACTGGCTCAGATTCTCTATTTGCAGCTGGGTAAGGCTGGACAACAGATAAACATCTTTTCTGTTATTCTAGATCTAGACAAAAGTACAAAAATTACTGAGAGGAATTAGGACAACGCTGGCTGGATAGGAAGAAATAAATTTTTGTCCTTTTATAAGGAATGTCCTTGATACAAACTTACGCAAGAAATAATAGCTTTTGTGATTTTCTTTTTTCCTCTCACATGCAATGAAAATAAATTATCCTTTCTTTTAAGACAAAGAAAGAAGTCTCATAAAATGACCCAGTAGACTGAGCACCCATTTTGGTTACATTTAGACTAAGAGGCCAAATTTAGAGGTCCAGTCTCATGAAATGTCAATCTAAAGAAACCAGGACAAGTAAAAAATCTTAATTTATGTTAATAGAGCTTACATCTTATGCAAGTTTTGCCAGGTTCTTCTTTAAGTTTAGTCCATTATTTAAAATTATTATAGGTAAAGTAAAACCAAGCACTTTCTTCAGTTCACGTAAGAACTGACTAACATTCCAATCCTGTAAAACATTTATCTGCTGGCACGAAGCTCAGATCTATACCATGACTCTGCAAGCCAGCAATCACATTAGGCTTATATTGTAATACATTTATAATTGTGGTAGCCACTTTGAAATAATACCAAATTCCAGAGCACAGTACATCTATGAATATTAGGACAAGATGAAATAATTTATGTTCAAAGAAGGCAGATATTTTTTTGAGTGATCAAATATCTATATCCATGGCAATCTATGGCAATTTTGATAATATATAGTGCAATTTGAAGTATTAGCCCACAGCAAGATAGTTTTAAGGGCCAAATAATTCTCTGAACAGTCCAATCTTTGATTGAAGACAGAATCTTTCATACAGCTAGGCTTGCACCGGAACAGTTCTGGTAAAGAAAAGCCCCCCAAAAGTTACTCTGTGTAATGGAAAGGGTGATTGAGGCTCCATAATCATCCATTAAAAACCCTGTGTGATGAACAATAATTAAAACTACATGAAAAACAATTGACTACAGAAAAGCTTTTGGTATGCAATATGTCAATCTTTGCAGTGCATGCAACATCCAGCCTTGTTATCTGTTATGGAGATTCACTAGTTATCTTAACATTGTGATCTCCTTACCACAGGCTCTCTGGGGAATTCATGTTTTTCTTGTGTATTTTCGGACTTCCTGTGTGGGAAACTGCCAAAAAGGATTACTAATGCAAATGAGATGAGGTTACTCTTTCTTAAATATTTGAAATCCTCATTCACAATGGAGAATTTTATATTGCATTTACACAGTCATATATTAACAAAATACAAAATAAGACATTTAACCCCCAAGATTTGTCTCCTTCTGAAGCTGGCACAGGAAATTCTATCAGTCTGGGGCTTGCTCACATGTCAGTTTGGTTCCTGATGACTATGCTTAAGGCTGCTGTAATGCATGCTGTTTTGAAACATCCGTTCCAAAAATGTGCCAAGAATGCAAGAGCATCTCTTATCCTGCATATCTTCTCTAAGCCTGGATTTGAAGGGAAAAAATTGCTCTGTTAGGGAAGAATTGTGATAGCAAAATGATTCTTACATGATTTAGTTTAAGTACAAAGACTTTTGAAGCAAGAAATAACTTTAAAATCTTAATTGAAAAAGAAGCTCCATTGTATAAAAAGTCAATGAACCAAGATAAAACTAAAGCTTACCTGGTCATTCTTACTCCATATCAAAGCTTGACTACTTCTACAATTTTCTCATCATTCTGTAAAACATGAACTAAGGGAAAAAAATGTTTTCCGGTGTCAGCAACAACTTTCATCATCCTGATGCTTGTTTTTCTGATGAGGTTATACATGACCTCAAATAAACCACCTTCAAAGCTTGAGGACTGGGAGATTCTTTTCTTTCTTTCCAGGTTTTGTCTTGTTAATTGCTGCTCTGTAGCCAGCCTCCATTACCACCAGGGGAGCAGCTTTTCTCAGTGGACTTACAAACATTTGTGAATAAAGGTTATTATTTCCAGTGATCTTTTGTGAAGGCTGCTGTGTTTGTAAATACTGATTGTATCTAGATAACCTTAATAAGTTTTCTGTCATGACAGGTTGTTTTGGAAGGCTCATGGAGGAACTATCCATATATTACCACTTTCTATACAGAACAAGCAATAGTATCAGACCAAGTCTTGCAGAGGCTTCCACATTTGAAAGAGCATTCTCTTTCTCTAATTTTTATTTAATTAACATTACAAAACTGCTTCACAAGCACTAATTAATCGACTGGTAAATTCAGCATTACTATTCCAGTACCATTAATGGGGTAGGAGAGTAACAGGATTGCATGTCCAGCCTATCTCTAAGGCATTAGCCATTGCCAGAGCTGAAGCACAGCACAAGTCTGTCTCTTCTGAGTGCAATTCATTCTTCTGAAAAAAACTCTCTTCCGACCTGGGGAATCACATACCTGCCTACCACTAGCCAGCAGCTCACTCTCAACTTGTTCTTACTCTCCATGGGCTATACAGCCCTTCTGCTCCTTCAGGCAATGCCAGTGCTTGTGTGGTCTGAACCAGGGAGTTGAGCCAGGTGAAAATTAAGAGATTTTTTGGACTGTGTGTGTTTGGGTTAGCTTCCAAATACAGCAGATCCCAAATCCAACTGACCACACGGCTGTCTGAGTGCTCACACTGGCAAAAGGGAGGCAGCAGCATTGGGTGCAGGGATGCCTTTCTCAGGGAAAGCACAGTTTTAGGTTGATTTAAGCTGGCCACAAAGCCACACCCATATCTTCAGAGAAATGGAGCCTTGATAGAGCCATATGGTCATGACAGTCTAACCAGCACAGAGCCAGTATAGATTAAGCCAAGAAAAGACTTCCCAACTGCTTTCAGGAAGGTCAAGCAAGTGCTATGTTTATTGCATCACTAAACATTCATTTTTAAACTGCTGATCAGCAAATTTGTAGATACTGTATATCTTGAAAGCTCCCTTTTCATTTTTCTCTCAAAAGAAAAAGGTTAGTTCAAAACATCACAATGTGTACTTTTCACTGACAGGAGATTTCTGCACATGCTGTTTACTTGGTTGTCTGTGTAGAGGCCCATTATGCATAAATCAGTGCAGAGAAATAGGGGATTGTTTTATTACACAATGAAGTTTTCCAAAAATGTCTTAATTTCTTGTTCAGGAAATGGCACCATTGTTTACTTGAAACAGATATGTTCAGTGGTCTGGAGGAATTTTGTTTAAGGAGACAGCCTAACCATTACTGTGAGTAAGAGTGTTGCATTGTTCTTGACAATAGCAATTAAGAAGATATTTTGATCTGAAGGTAATTAGCAAAAATGGCAAAATGCTATTCCAAAGCTCAACAAATTTTCCAAATGTTGAAAGATGAAATGAGTCCAGTTCTTGGGACAATTTTCAGATTACTCAAAAGTCTTGCTTAATATCAACAAGAAATCAGCTATGAAGAATCTATGTAATTTCCATGGTATTAACTTGCAGTGCATTTCATATACAAATGAGCAGGCCCGACAAGTTGCTATGTCAACATCTGAAATCCCTGAAATTTTATTATCTTGGGATCAGATTAGAAAGATGTTAGTGAGCAGAAAGACTGCTCTCAGTCCTTTTCCATATGACCCCTTAAATCCTCTCAATTGTTTTTTCCCAACAATAGTATCTACAATCCTTCCACATTCCAGCCCCTTCTCCCCAAGTCCACTCCTCCCACCTTATCAAGACCTCTGTGATGTTCCTCACCTTCCTTCTTCCCATTTACTTCCCTGATATACACCAGTCCCTGGCCCACTGTACTTTCCATCAAGCCTTTCTGGCTTCCTCTGTTCTTAGTCCTGTGTTCTTACGTACCCAGGGACACGTTATACCACAGGTACAAAATTAAGTTCTCTCATTCCAAGGATAATTTATTTACAAATCTGACTCTGTGTGAACTGCTGAAAGGGCAAGTGTAAACCAATTTAAGAAGAGAAAGATAAACCTGAAACATTTTACAATTGTATTACAATACCCAACACACACCACTCTAGGCAATTTGTCTTGAACAAGATCACATTCCCATGCTTCAACAGGTTAGCAGAACTGATCTGTTCCACCATAGCACACGACAACATGTTGGCGTACAGAAGCTCAAAATCTCTGCTGTATGCAGATTGTGCTGTTTGCAGGATGAGATGAGTGAGAGGCTTGCCAGGCAGCCTGTTGCGGTTCCAGATTCTCCAGCTAATTCAGTGCTTGTCTGGACAGCTTTAAACTATACCAGCTGCTAACAGTCCCCCTTGGGATCATTTGCTAACTGCAGATTACCAGAAACAGCAGGGCATCCCTTTCTACTCCAGTAGTAATCCTTGTGCTGGGATGGAGGGGAGGAGAATTTAAGAACCAAAACCACAGGCCTCAGTTGAGAATTGCCTGCACAGTAGAGACAACTAATAAGCTGGTGAATGCTTGAGCGATTTCTGGTGCTTTTGTGCTCTTTCATGCAGGGTATCTATCTTTTGCCATACTAATATCAGCCTATTAATTCATCAGTGTGGGTATTACACACTAGAATGGATTCATTGTAATTTGTTCAATTGTCTGGTATCTGTGTTTGCGCTAATCCAGGTCTGTTCTGAGCTGTCCTGTCAAATTGATGTGTCTGTGTTGCTACTTGTACTGAACTCACTTGTCTGGTCCATCTCACTTGAGAAAGCCTTTATTTCATGTTTTTCCCACACCAGAAATTTGATTGTCATATTCTTGGTGTTACATCACTGCAAAGAACATGAAGCTGTAATCTGTATGCCTAGGACACAATTTCAAATGATACAGTTTTAATAGCAGCAGTGATCCTTAAAATGTTTAATCCTCCTTAGTGACTTCTTTGTATTTCTCGTCAGAACAATTTTGAAGCTTTAGTTACCATGTGGGGCATCCATTTTCTCTTGCTAATCTTCGTAAAGCGCAGAAATCCTAGACGAAAGCTGACAAAACCCTGAGTCAGATTTCAAATGCCAAGATCGCTTCTGTGAATGGCTGTCCAAATTACAAAAGCTTCCAGAAGAACTTTTTACTGCCGATATCTGTCTTAACTGTGTGTCTGTAAATCGTCCGTCTCACGGTGCTACCTATTGCATGGAGAAGAATTTCTTCACCTGTCACTAGAGGGCAATACAGCTGCTCACATAATTACCCCTGGAGGCAAACTCTGCCTAAATCCACCGGTGCGAATTTCACGTCAAAATTCGCATTTTTCCTCTACCCATGCTCAGGTGCTGGCTTTAATAGTCACTTGTTGAACACTTTTGAACAAATGATCCGGAATGTCACTAACAGGAGAATGAACAGGAGAATGTCACTGAGGGGAGAACAGTTGATGCTGTTTACAGCAGTAGATTTCTCAATTTGTCACGTTTCCTCGTAGGGGTCATTGTCCACACTGCAGCGCTGAGAACAATAACTGCAATTAGATTCAGACATGTAGTCCCTGATTTTGAACTACTGATGCCAAAGGGAGATTTATTGCTGACTTAATTTCATACAGGATTTGTTTCTTGGTGCTGACTTTTACCTACAACTGCATACACCAGAATATTATTTATATTGGATTAAACTGACTTTCTGAGAAGTGATTCAAGAGCAACACGGATCTCTGAGTTTTGTAAAAGCTGGGGTGAGGGGGTAGAGCGCTGGGAGAGAAGGAGGGAGGTTGAACTGTCGCATGTAACTCATCTATTGCCAAACAGGCTAACTTGTCTTAACCTGCAAGCACCTGGCATGGAAACTGTCATTTTGAACATTCCTAAATACAGTAATGCTCTCATCTAACCATGGCTGTGTTGGCTACATTTAATGGTGGTGTAATTTCCAAAGGAGATAATGCTGTGTGATTACCTGGTATCAAAGGTGATTTCAGTTGTTTCACTGAGATTTTTTACAGCCCCCTCTGATTTTTTTACCGTATTGCTCAACCCTACTCTCTCTTGGAGTCAGAGTTCTCTGATTTCGTGTGATTATCTTGGGACAGTTTCCAAGTATGTATATGTTAGATTACCACCTGAGTGTATTTTCTTCCCTGCTTACTCAAGTGGTGCCTCCAGATAATCTTTCAAGGAGCCTATAAATATATATATATTCAAGCCTTGCAAATTCAAATGTGAAGCTCACATACTTGGCTCCTTCCTCTTGTTTCTCTGCAGCCATGTTTGCAGTATAACCCCAGTTTTTCTCCCATTCCATGCTGAAAGTGGAAGTAGCTCTAACTAACTATTAACTTTTTTTTTTTTTCCCATATATAAAGAAGGTAAAAGACATTCATATTTAGGTCTTGCAGGAATTTTCTTTTGTACAGAAGATCCTGTCAAATCAAAAGAGTTAAAATATGGTGGAGTCTGAGTAAGGGAGGAAAGGGTCTGTGGAGGAAAGGCTCTGGGGCTATCTCCTCCCCCCAGATGCAACGCATGAAGGAACAGTATTCAACAGAAGGCTAATAATATATATCTCTTTCAACCAAGTAACCTTGTACATGGCATACGTCCGTTGTCATATGTGATATGAAAATCCCTCCCATGAACTAAAAATACTTGAGGGGTCTGAACATAGATATATTAGCACCATTTTTAGATGTACATGCTTCTGGTACATTGGGATATTACAGGCACTGCCATTAAAATACATTTTTGTTCTTTTTTCCTAAAGCTTTGGGTTTGTTGTTTTTTTTTAAGTGCCTTTTAATTTAGTTGTAACTTTTTATTTAACAAGTCCCTTTTATTAAATACAGCATCTTCTCTTTGAAATGCAGGACTTGTAATTTGGTAATTTTGGGGTTGGCTTCTATGTCCGTTTCCTTCAATATCCTCTTTCTGACGCTGCCCAGTATAGCAAACTTCAGAAGAAGGCAGATGAAATCCTGCTGCTGGTTAGAACAAAAACTGCTGTTTTTCTTTCTCAGAAGAATTATGCATATTCTAACACTCAGATACACCCGCATTCATATTTTAAAGTAAATGTAGATGCTTTCCTAATTTTTGCTGCTGGAGGGCCAGCTTCACCTCCCCCCCCCCCCCCCCCCCCCCCCGCTAGTTCTTTCCAAACTTAAAGACAAGAAAAGGTGATGAAAAAAGTCTTTGTGGTGAATCCCAAGTCTAGGATATCCCCAAGGCATTGTGGTTAGTACAAACCCAAGAAAAGCATTTAATTCTGTAGATAGAATCCAGCCTTTTCAGTAAGTGAATACACGCCTATTAAAAACTCATCTTTTTTAAAAACCCAACAATTCCAGGTAGACATTTTGATAGATTTGGGCAGATAAACTCTCTCGAGTCCTTCTGCACACAGCGGGGTTGGTCTCTGGGCCCCAGGACCACATAGGCACTGAGGAAGAGCAGTGAACAGTGTGGACAGGACAGTAAAAATGGGGAGAAAAGGTTGTGGGGTTTTTTTTCCTAACAACCCTCCTTCTGAATCGAATCAGCCATCAAAACTCAGAATGGGAATTTTAAAACCCCTCGCCTCCTTCTTTCTTTCCGCTTCCTTCCAGAACCCCTCACACTCTCCGGGAAGTAGAACGAGGTGAAGCCACCAGGGACTCTTCACACCGCACCTCCTCAGGACACAGCCCAACAGCAGGGCCAGCCGGCGGGCCCGAAGCGGCACCGAGCAGCCGCCAGACGTGTGCTCGGAGACGTTTCCCTACCCTCAGCCTACAAGGAGGGACACGAAGAAGAGCACGAAGAGAAGGAGGGTCGGTTTCACCCCGAGGGGCTGCGGCCTTCAGCGGTGAGGTGACGTGAGGGCCATGCCGCCCTCATGCCGCGCTGACAGTAGCCTCGCGGTGCATAGGTGAGAGCCGCTGGCGAAGCGGGAGGAGGGAGGGGTGTGTGCCCCCACACCCGACCCCTGGGCGGTCCGGGAGACCTGAGTGGATGGAGCCCGCGTCAGTCAGGGGCAGGGCGAGGCCGGCGACGGGGGATAGCGGCCCCCGCCCGGCGGTGAGGCTTCAGTTGTGGAGGAGCTGCGGCACCATGCGGGCGGCCGCCGGGGTAGGAGGGGAGAGGCACCTGTTCTCTGTGAGGGGAGGCGGGCTGAGGCGGGAGGGCTCCCTCCGCGGGCTTGTCGCTGCTACGGTGCTGCTGCCGGTGTAGCGGCAAGCCCGCCGGTCCCCTCGGCTGTTCGGTTCATCTGCTTCTTTCTAGGACGTGGTGGGCATCCTCTTCCTGGTGGCGGTGGCGGTCGCGCTGGATTTCAAGTACCACCACGCTGAGGAGCTGGAGGCGTACCTGAAGAGGGTTCATGCCACCTACCCCTCCCTCACCCACCTGCGCAGCATCGGGCGCTCGGTGGAAGGTAGGGGAAGGGGCACTGTGGGGGAGAAAGCTTTCTGCTTTATTTAAACTGGGACAAACATGGGTAGAAGTGGCTGCGGTAGCGTTTCGTGGGCGCTTGCTGGCGGCAGGGCTGCTTTAATCCCAAGTGCTGGGTGCTTCTCTGCTTACATCTCTGAAGTTTTCTCTTCCTCCCGCTTAAGCGTGAATAACGAACTCGGATGACACATAGGGCGCTTCAGCTAGGGTAGAAGTGCCTCAACACCTTTTTGTTCGAGAATTGGAAACCTCCTGAGTGGCAATTTCAGAAACAGGGATCTCTTTTAAAGACCTTAGGATGTTGTGGTACCCCGTTTGCCAAGTGCCATTCTAGGTGGGGCTGTAATAGGAGTGTGTGTTTTCTAACGTGGCTGTGTTAAAAATAACCTCTTTTGGCTCTGCCTATTATTCCAGTAAATCAGGACTGGCTAGAAAAAGGATTTCAAATTCCATACTGATACAAGGTCTTATGCCTTGAAGGAATGATGGGATTTCAGTCTCAAGCCACACAGGCAAATGCACTGAAATCAGTAATTGCCTTTACGGCCTTATATAGCTATCTGAATTTATTTCTCTGTAATACTTTCTTACAATAAATGTATAGGGAAAAAAAAAAAAGAAGAACTTGTAGTTTAAGAGACTAGAAAGTTCAGTGTTTGCTACTATATAAATAGTATGTATATATCTAGCTTTAAGAAAAAAAAAGGCAGATTTCAATTCGGGAAAGTAAATTGCTTTGATAAGAGGTATAAAACTCGGCAGGGACATTAATTCTTTAGAAACATCATCTGATCTTCTAATCCCATTTCATACCACTGGAAGGAGACAGTGTAGCATCTGTTATCAGATCTATGCATGTGTTTTAAAAAATCTGCCGCCTTCTAGTTAGATAACTGTGAAGAATGCTAGTAGCTTCTTTTCATGCCTCCTTCCCTGTGTTAGTATGTATGTCTTCGCATTTTTCTTACATATACTTGTATTTGTCTGCGATGTAACTCTTAGTTGATGAGAGGGTTCTGTTTCAGTGAGGTATCAAACAGCTGTTGTTGCTATAGATATGTGATCTCGTCTGTATGTGGCTGCACTCATGTTAGAAAGTGTCACTGTGGGAATACTCCAAGTAGACAAGGAAGCTGTGTTCTTCCTGGTTTCACCAAAGGCAGGATCATATTGGATTGTGTTAATCATTCACACAGAGGAGGCTAGTCCCTTTAATTGCAAGCTACCACTTATCCACATCCTCATTTTCCTACCTTGAGGGGACTTAGCTAATGTTTTAATGATAGGACTAGATTCTGACTTTTCTGGCAGGAATTTTGCTGGCTTATCTCCATTCAGGTAGGAAAAAAACACCCCTTTCATCCAACCTGAGATTGAAATTTTGGCTTTTACATATCTAGACATCTGGAAGTTGATAACATGAAGTGTTCAACTTGTCTGAGTTCCATTAGCACGAAAACTGGAAATGCATCATCTCTTGATTGTAGCTCAGCAGTGTATTGGAACTTCATTCATATTTTGGTTATATTACCTTCTGCTCTGCCAAACTATGTGAGAAAAGAGAATTGTGTGGGCTCTGCCTTCTGCCAGCTACGTGCCACGATTTGTGAAAAGGGATTATTTATGCTTTTTGCACGTCCTGTGTGCCTGCAGTATTCCTCTGAACAGGATACTGGGCAGTGGGAACTTTCTTGGTGCCATATAAAGCAGAGTGGCAGTGAAAAATGTTCAGTGCTTTTCTTTTTCATAAATGTTAAGAGATTTCTACCTCTGTTAAGGAAAATGCCTTTAGAGTTCCCTGAAATATGGTAGAGGATGGTACTAAATCGGGCTCTTCATTTTGTTGCTCATACTAAAAGTGTGTGGAAACAGAAGTGTTATAATTTTGGTGAAAATGAAGATTCAAGTTTGGTAAATGGGCTGAAGTTCTATTCCTTTTTTTCTGTGTTAAGCTGACACAAACAAGAATGTATGTATGCACTTGCACTTACTGGTATGGGTTTACTAGCGTCCCATTACCAGTTAGCTAAACCATGACAGCAAAATGTAGCAATTGATGATAAACTAAATTAAATATCCTTTTACAAAGGCACACAGTGACAGGACAAAGGGGAAATGCCTTTAAACTGTCAGAAGAGATTTAGACTAAGCAAAATGACCTGTTCTAGCTTCTCCTCAGATGTAGTTTGATCATCCTGGTGGCCCTCTGCTGGACTTCATCCTGTGTGGTGATGTCTCTATTGCCCCAGGAAACCCATAGCTGAACATGATACTCTAGATGTAGCTTTACCAATGCTAAGTGGAAGGGAATAATAATTTCCCTCAAGATGCTGGCTTTTCTTCTTGCTGATGCTGAAGCATGCAGGTTGCCTTTTGTGATGTGAGAACACACTCCTGACTCACAGAGTAATGGAACAGGCTGGTTAAGTAGCTTGTGGAGTCTCCATCCATGGAGATATTTAAAAGCCATCTGGACACAGTCCTGGGCAACCTGCTGTAGGTGGCCCTGCTTGAACAGGGGAACTGAATCAGGTGACCTCCAGAGGTCCCTTCCAACTGATTCAGGTTCTGTTGAAAGCCTTGCTAAGGTCAAGACTAAAGAAATAGGGTACTTTCTTCTCTCCCACTAGCTGGTTATTTCTGCATGAAAGGTAAGCAGTCAAGCATAATTTGTCATGTATATATTTGAGGCAAGACTTTCAAAGCATGATCGATACATGTAGACTATAAAAGCTGTTGTGTAGACTACACAACAGAGTCATTACCAAGAGTATCAATGAAAAACAAAAGATGCCCAATCTGTTTTGTAGTGGTTTACATTACCATATACAAATTCACTAGCCCTTTGCCAGTTTACTAGGAAGAATGTGTTCTAGACTGGCAATGGCCGGTTCAGTCTCCAGGTCTGTACGTTTGGAAGCCATGATGTTTAATTATGTATGTCATCTGCTCAGCTATTATCCTTAACTAAGGGGAGAAGGTAGCTTAAAAAGACAAAACCTGGCTGACAAAACTGAGTGTTGTCTGTTTGGCTTTATTTAGTACGTAGCCTCAAATACCTCAGGATTTTTGTAGGATGATTTGTATGTTTGTGAGAAACTGGATATGGTCTTATAAGCAGGTAGGCAGAGATATGTGGTGACCCAGAAATCTTAATTCTTTTATATTGTTTTAGATGGGTTGTTGAATAAGCTCATAAAAGATCTTTGGCATGAGCTCTGTTTTCTAATATACACAGAATCCAACCTCAGTATAGTGTGTGCACTTTATAATAATAATAGAGGAGGCTGCAGAGCTGTGTCAGTCAGGAGAGAATGGACCTGGTGTAATCATATTGACCTGTCCTGTCTAATGGCATCCTAGTGAAAAACAGGCTACTCTTCAGCAAGCAAATCTTAGTGTGTGCTATCAAAAAGGAAATATTTGATGTCAGAGTATGATCTGTGTCTTTTAACTGCTCAAGATACAGTGCTTTTATTCCTCTTTGAAAGGAATATGAGCATGGTGGGAGGCAGACTTAAAGATCTAATAAATAGACATTTAGGCAAGCAACTTTGAAAGAGCTAAGTGGCTTTTGTAGTAGATATTCACTCTTTTAAAATCTCCTTTTCAGGTACACCTATGGATGCAGATAAAGTGACTATAGCTCGGTTTAGATCTGGATTTCTGGGGACCAGGCTGTATTTTTAGAATTCCAGTCAAATTGGAACAGTTGTAAACAACATCCTTAAGCCAGATCCTGGTCACTGAGCAGAAAGCTGTGTAGGGTTGAAGTACCTGTCCTGTCCTTTTCCTAGAGAAGAGCTTCAAAGTTGACTTCATAGATTAACATTTCTGTGGCAGATTCCATCACTGAAGAGACAAAAAACTAATCTGACCAGCTCTTAATGTGGTTTCATTAGAAATTTTCAGAAACAGCTTCTTGCAAGAGACCTCTCCTGAAAGCTTTTAGGTGAGAACTTTGTGGTTTAATAATTCTGTTCTGCTGCTTGCTGTTCAATTGCTTTGTTGCCCTTGACCTGGCACATTCCATACATTATTCTTAAGCACTTTTCTAACTTTCACTAGTCCACCAAACACCATATCTCCACTTCCCCTCTCCCCCCTTATAATTATTCAGCTGTTCCTGCTCTGTGAACAGGTTGAAGTATGCAGGTGTGTGTGTTCAGTTTGGGTTTTAAAGTTCATACACAGACTTCCACATGTCTGGGTGCATAGAGGATATGGTATACTATGTGGAAGGAGTACTTGGCAGGGCTCCCAGTAGGCCAGCTTTCTCAGTGCCTTAGAGCTCATTATGCCCATTTCCTATCTGCATTCATGGGTTTCCCTTCTCAGTAAACAGAAGTGAATGGTGCCTGCCCAGGTTTCTGTCTGATAAGCCGCTGTGACTTCAGTAAATGGAGGGGGCAGTATGGACTAGTACTTGGGCAGCTCAGTAGGAAGTGTGTGTCTGCCTGGTAATGGAGAACTTAGGCTGTTAACCTGTCCTTGACATCATACTGCACAAATATCAGTGGAACATGTGCCCAGTATATGCCATGGATTAAGTTATTTCCTGACTTTTTTGATACAGTGTGATTGATACTTTTAGGTGTTTACAGGCAGCTATTGAACAGGGGAATGCTACCTTAAGGGTCATTGCACTTCTGTGAAAATATTTAGTAGTAAATATTGTACTTTTCTACTCTGGATATTGATACTCTGTGAATGTAGCTGGAAAATTATGCTTACCTGGAACTTATTTTCAGGAACTGTTTTTTAGACACTTCATGTGATACAGTATGGAAGGAGCCTGTGTTACTAGCATCAATAGTAAAATGCACTGTGAATTTTATTGACTTTACATTAGAAATGCTTATATTCTGGATGGTTTTACTTTGTTTAAAGTACTAGAAAACAAGTTTTACTGCTGGAGGAAACAAAACTGAAATACATATCCATAAAATGTTTGTAATCTACTGTCATTCTTCTCATCAGGTT